CCCCAAAACCCCAAAACCCCAAAACCCCAAAACCCCAAAACCCCTGTTATTTTTATAGTAATTGAAAAAATGAGCATGATCGAGCAAAGGCTAAAGCAAGTTCAAGGTAAGAAAGATTGCCCAAAGAGTTAGGAGGGTGAGTTTTTAGAAAATAGAGAAAAGTAGAAGAAGGAGATATTTCTGGGACGTTTTAAGGTGTTTTGAGGTGTTGGAACAGGGGTTTATGTGATGTAGATGAGACAGCTTCGGAGGTAGCAGCTGAAGAAAAGATGTCAAAAGCGTCATCGGAGCATAGCTATTCACCAGAGACTTTGGATATAATTCAAAAAATATTAGCTAGGTTAAAGATTACAACTCAAAGTGTAAAAGTTTTTGTGAATAATTTAGGACTTATAAACAATGTGAAAAGAGATCAGAATACCAGAGAGGAGTTTAAAAACTTGGATAACGAATTAGGAAATCTCCTTAAGCAGGCAGAGGTTAGAAACAAGGGTTTACCCAGTTCAGGGGTAGACGACGCATCTCTAGACCAGAAGGTAAAGGAAGCACTTGACATAAACCTTCTTGATATATGTGAAAAGAAGGAAGTTGCAGAATCCAAACTCAGAGAACTCACCAAGCAATTTGATTCCAAAGTTGAGAAAGTTAAACAACTTGAGTACGAGAACTATCTCCTTCAGAAGAAGAATAAAGAGTTTGAACAGAAGTTTATTAAAGCAGATCAGGATTTGAAGAAGAAAACCCAGGATGTAGAAAGACTTCTAGACATACTTTATGGAACTGATAAAGCAAAGGAATATGCAAAGCTAGATGCAGAGAGTTGGAATAATAAACAGATCCGGGCTTATCATATTGGACCTCCTGTGCATGTCATGAGATCAATGCATTCAAAGAACCAAGGAATCACCAGCTTAAAACAAAATGAACCTAACTATTGTGCTGATGGCCACAATGAAATCTGGAAAACTCAGGAAGAAAACTTAGTAAAGGAGGAGAAGGAAGATGATTCCTTAGAAACTTTTACAAAGACAGGACTTTGGGTTTTGAAAAATACACAGTCAATGGGAAGTTTACCAAGTGAGAATATTCCTGTTTCAGATCAAATTAAAAATCACTATAATACCTTGATGTTTAATCAACAAAATCCTGAGAGCACATTTGACACTGATATGTTTGCAAGGACTGGGAGCTCAGGTCAAGATGCCAATAATCATTTTCCTAATACCCCTGGATTTGATAATACTCAGAATGGACAATCTCCTCATTTTGGAGCCCAAAGAGGTCCACAAATGCCTCAAAGAAGTGGAAGAACTGGCTATAGTAATTCTGGATTTAGGCTTACATTTAATGATAAGAACCAATAAGTATAATTTTTAAGAAAATTTCAATATTCTTCTTCAAAAAGGGGTTTTGGGGTTTTGGGGTTTTGGGGTTTTGGGG